CGTTTTAACTAATTAGACATTTTACCCGCAGCTTTTTATTCCATGCCCATAGTGCCCTAGAAATATTGCATTCAACCCTACCTCCAGTATCCAGTATCTTCTTCACGAGCTGGTGCAAACCAATTTGATTTCTTCGCGCTCGATACTTGTTCTTTCGGTACGGTTCCAGCTGTTCGGTAATGTCCAATGGATGGAGGTCTAGCCACTCGACTATCTAATTCTAGTCAGTTGGCAGTTAGTTGTGAGTTTCTATGTCTCGGGATTTGAATGAAACGTTTGTTTCAGGGCAGTAGGTTTTCTGGATACCAGCAGCCGCCACATTACCAAACCCGAGATCAGTTAGTTGCAACGTGGAGAGTTTTAAGGATAATAATGATAAAATTATAATGATAATATGAATAAAATTTCAGAACTGAGTAATATATAGATGAATTTAGTTTGTTAATTGGTAGTGAAGATTGCGAGAGAGGATAGAAGTGTAAGCAAGGGAGAGAAAACAGAGATAATAGGCTAGATAGATTAACTGAGTGATCTGAGGAGATGGCAATGATAACAACTAGCAGGTATCAAGATATGCATCATGAACAGCTTGTCCAAGAGGGAGATGATAATCCGTGATTATCAAATCTCTTATTAAAGCTGTTTACTGAGGGGGCTGTGGTTACCTCGGCTGGGAGAGCATTCCAAGTTGCGACGACTCGCAATGAGAAAAAGTGTGCACGAATCTGAGCATTCGCCCTTTGATGTGCAATCTTTCGAGGATTGCCTCGAGGGGAGTGGTGGTGATGCATCGGTAAGATGCTCACATTGAGATGGTTTGGCGTGTTTAATATGTTGTACGCCATATTCAGATCACCTATGATTCTCCTGTAGCTCAGTGGAAATAATCCCAAGTGTTGGACAACGTTCTTCTGTGTAAACTGACATTGTCATTTCAGCATAAACCCTACTCACAATTAGTTTTTAAACTATTTTACATCCATCTAAAAGGCGCTAAATTTCGCCTCACGCCAATAACATTTGAGAAATTATCTAAACCTACCACTAAAGAGGACATAACTTTCCATCAACACCTATATCACTAACAGAGATAAATGCAACCAACCAAGAATTGAGTGACTCTAAACCATTCGCGGCATCCTAAAAATAATCCGAAACAGATATTTTCTGCAGGGATCCATTAGGAAGTTTGACATATCCTAAACACTCAGCAAGCCTGCAAACAGATACACTATAAAGCAGCTCACAAATTGTGAGTCTATTCACAATAAACAGTCCAGTGATGTAGATCTCGATCATTCATCCAAAGGTATATCCTTCACCTCAGCTGAATGTTCGGAAATATGGAACAAGACTACACGCAGCCTTATCGGCACTAACGTATTTGAAGTGAACTTCAACAAACTCGTCAGTGATCATTCTGAGGATTGTCAAAGCGCATTTAACCTTAACCAAAGTATTCGCGATTTACTACCCTACAAATACTAGATCATCACCTCAGGAAATCCTGGCATCTAAATTTGCAATAACTTATTTGGTCGTTGTCCGTACATCCTCAGAAGAGTCAAAAAGCCATTTTTTATATTATATCTGACAGTTCGAATATAGGAGACCATGTCCTCTCTCTAGACTGTATTTGACTGACGAGGAGATTACTCAGTAGCATCCATAAATTTGATACCCTTTAGACTCATGTTTCAAATTAAAGTTGAGGTCTCAATCCTACCAAGATAAATTGTAATATGCTTACTCAGGCATTTATTGTATGACTTGAAAACTAGTGCTTGATGAAAACAGATGACAGAGAATCAACGAAAATAGTAGTCATCAGAACCGAATTAGTGGCAGCAATAGTAATGAGACAGAAAGTGTGAGCAGTCCACCTATTGTGACTAGTCGATCAATTTCATCGAATGAACCTCTTACTGTTTTGACGTCATCGAACCCTGCAGTAAATGTAAAGTTGATTAAAGATGCACAAAAATGTGTAACTGAAAGTGTTCCTACTTCGGCTGACTGTCAGTCGACTGATGATAAGAAGGAAGTGTCTGATGGTAACAGCCACTCTACAGTGTTGCATGATAACTATGCTATTGACGTGCATATGTATTGTGTCTCTTAAACGGAATATGAAGAACAACAAGTGAGTTTATCGGTTTCCGATTTCGATACTGAAGCTGTTCTTTCAAATAACGAGATGAGTTATACAACAAAGGAAAAGTTTCACTCTACGGATGCTAGTGCAGCCAGAAACGACACGACTTGTCCGACAGAACGGAATCATGGTAACAATGATAATTATCTGGATGTCACTGATGTGACAAATGAGTTGCCGACGATGACGAATGCTGATCAAACCTCCTCTGTATCAGGAGATGGAGAGTTAGATATTGTTCCTATGTTATGTCACTTAGAGTCTTCAGGAACCGAGGAAATGTCAAAATTGGAGATCCCACCCTTGCATATTATCTATGGGTCAAGAACTTCTGTTGATAAGTCAGCATCACGGACTTCATTGTATCTGCCGTTCGGAGCAAGTGGTGGTGGATTGACGACTCATCCCCATGATATGGAATGTAATTCCCGGATAGGATATGACCAGCTTTACGACGTGTTGTACATGTTCATGTGGGTTAATTGGATAAGGTTTATACTACCGTTAGGTCATGCTACGATAGATAGGGGAATCAAGGGCCTGATGGGAAGGTACAGGTACCTAGTTAGCTTGATAGGTCATATCCATGTTGGAGGGCGGGTAGGCGTACTGCTGTAAGTCCTACTCGTTCTTCCGGTGTGGATTAGGGGATGAGAGTGAACCCTAAATTGAAGTGTCAGAAAGGACTTGTTTTTTACATGGAGGGATTTTGCGGGCCGGTGTAGAATCTTTTTTGAATGTTTTGTTTTTTGGAAAATCCCTCCATGTATATATATTTGTGTTATGATATGACTGACTCTTTCTGTTGGCATTTTGGTACTCTATTTGATTCCATTTTGAGATTTTATCATTGTATATTGTTATTATTTCTATATCTTGTACTTATATTGAAGTTTTTATGTTTGCTTCTGAACTGTACATATGTTGTTTAAATTTGATATTTAATATGGCTACAGCCATATTTGGATTTGATACCGTAGCAGTACGGACTGGAAGCACTTATTCTTTCAGAAACGGATACTCACCGCGGTAAATTGGATTTAGAAGAGGTAATATTGTTTGGTAATTGTCTGTATTTCCATTTTATATTAAATAAAGACCGTTTTCTCCCAGAATTATTGTGTTTTTTTAAACACTGATTATTTGTACTAATTTTAGTTACGATAAATTCACATTGACTTAGATGAATGAACATTGTCTATTTCAGAAAAACTCTTCAGCTCCATCAGCATTTCATTGAAATCATGAATCGATTATTAATTTTGGACCACGATTAGGGACCAGGAAGCACTGGAACACCGTTTCGTGGGACTCATCAGCAACGCGCAACTGCGAGCCCCGCAAGCAAGACTAGAACCTAGGGCATTCAGTCCCAAACGTGAACGATTAACGTCCAGTACACTTAGTGGGCATCTAACACTGTTAATGTCTAACTTCAACCAATCTATGGTATTGTGCAACCTCATCCTTTTCCTTCGGTGGGTTAATGCCTCACACTGAACCGGAATCAACGGCACCAGTCATAGACTCTCGCTGAAACTCGATCATTATCATCTCACGGACCCCATCCGGGTAGTCTACATCTACCAACATGACTCAGTCCACTTGTCAGTGACTTCACGGATTTCTGCCATATTTTGGTCTGGCCGCTCCTAGCTTTCTTCCAACCTACTCCTACACCACAAAACATAGCTCGTCGAGGCAGTCGTTGGTTAGGCATACGTAACAAATTTCCCAACCACCTCAACTCATGAAGTTTCAATACTTCATCTACTGATCTGCCATCCTTACCTAGCACCCGTTTCCTAACGACAGCATTGATTACTCAGTTGTCCCACGGTATACGAGCAATGCTTCTTAAACATCTATGATCGAATACTAGTATCCTACGAACATCTTCTACTCTTAACGGCCATGATTCGCATCCATATAGGAGAACGGAGCGAATTGCTGCGCAGTACACCCGTCCTTTGGTTAGCGAACGGATATCTCGCCTACGCCAGGTTGTCAAAAGCCAATCGAGCTTTCTGTATCCGTGCTGAGATTTCGTCAGTCACCAGGCTATCAGCCCTGATGAGACTCCCCAGATAAGTGAAGCGATCAACACGCTCGACTACTTCACTCCCTATCACTAGTTCAGGTGCCGATGCAACCCAATCTTGAAGCAACATTTCGCATTTCAAGAAGGGGAAAACCGCATCCGGAACATGCTGGCATCATTGCTTATGGTAGTAAGAAGAACAACAGTTGTAACAGCCTTTGAAGTATTCACAAATTATACAAGGGATTTCCAATAAGTCTGTCAAATTCATTCACTTTTAATGCAAAGTTTAGAGAATGCTCTAATATATAATATGCTATTCTATCACAAGCACTTGTATTTCTATCTGCGACTGTAAAACACTATTTTTAGTGTATAAGGATTAAAAGTCTATCTCAAAATCTATCTATTAATTTTATAAAAACACTTTGATTATTGATTCCCACCGCTAAATATCCAAATGTAGATGGTTTAAATAGTTCTAACGGAAGACAAATTTCAACTTCTTCGAGAAATATACCTTAAACAAAAATATCAGAGATAGTTTTGTAAGAAATTGAATTATACTAAAGTGTTATTTAATTCCATATTGAGTGATTTCATTTAAAACACTATGCCAAATTATATCAATAAAAGATGCAGAAAATGTTTTTAAAAATTTCAATCGATTAAATTTGTTTTACTGATGAAATGTTTAATGTTGTTTGACTGTTTATCACTTAATAATTTGTCTGAAACTATTTTTTTTTCTAAATTAACGAAAAAAAACAATCTATACAAAACAATTTACAAAAGGCACAAACATTTAAAAAAACAACAATACTACTAAATTTTATTTCAGTAAATAATATTTACGGTAATTTTTTTACTGTACAAAACCAAACACATGTCCACAGATCATCTTGTCAACTTTCCTGAGGATACTCAAATTAATTTATGTGATTTGTTACGTTTTCTAGATTTTCTTTTGGATTTTGTTTTACGTTTATCTGAAAATGATTAAAACGATAAATGTTTTTAAAAGGGGTATTTTTTTCGTAATTCCTACATTTGAATCAATACTAGTTTAAATTCTCTACAAAAACTGAACTACTGACAATCGATCAGCAGATTGATCAGCAATCTATTTTTGCATAGATAGGAAATGTACATTTTGCAGCTCAAAGAAACTGTTTTACAATAACAGGTACACCAATAATAAAATAAAAACATCCACAATGAGGTGGTACGAAAGGAAAGTTTATACTCCAATCAAGCAGTGAAACACGTGGTGTAGCTGAATAAAAGATCATTCTTAAAAAAAATTTCGAATGACTTTCGAACCTTTTGGTTTTTTGTTTTGTTGAATTAAGGTGGTTTTATAAACATTTGAAAATAGGCTACAATTAGACTGGGCACCATTTCACTTGTCTAAGAAAAAAAATTCATTTTATGATACCAAATATTTAACACCGTGTTAAATTTACCAAAGCCACATTGTGGTGCGCGCTACTTATAAGTAGTATATGACGCGAGTGAAAACGTAATGTCTGGTAGCAGTAGATGGGGAAGATCAAGAAGGGAAGATTGGGAACACAATGGAATTTGTATGAAACGCATGAATAGTGAAATGTCAGACAATGGATTGAAGATTTGCAAATTAACCGTTTACGATATGGTTTTCTTATTTTACTGATTAACGCTGTAATTTGCGATAAATACAATTAGGTTGCCCGCATCTGTGTTCTCCTTCACTACAATATGACAGTCTTCAGTATTCAATCAATAAATATTATTATAGAACTTTGTTCTTTTGTTTTTTATTCAAACTTCTGTTTTTGTAACACACCCTGTGTAATGAACATTCGATTTTATAATTCAAACAGTCAAAAGCTTTAGTGATCAAATCTGAAAGTTATAGGTTCTATCCCAAGTGAGCTGCTTACGTAGACATCACTTAGGATTTTCATAATAAGACAGAATACTTATCTAGCACTTTCTGGTTTTCAATAGTTACCTAATTTCGATTGGTTTGTGTTCTCGATATTATTATTCAACAAGCTTTATCAATCTCTATGTTGATAGCCGATAATATTAATTGTACAAATAAACGTTCACAATAATAATAAGGATATTTAATTTGTACTGATTTTTCACTGTGTTCAATTGTACACCAATGATAGCAAACATTAGGTTAGTTTGATTCAGGCTAGTACTGTATTTATATGATATGCTTTGCATCAAATAAAGTCATTTTGATTGATTACAACGCAGTAAACAGTTTCAGATTTAGGATTTTAAAACATATCTGTAAAGTACGGTAGTATGATAGTCGTATGGGGATTATTAAATCAAATAAACACTAGGAGAGAAAGAATAATGTTAACGGACGTGCTATTAATTAATCAGTCAGACTGAGAATATTCAAAAGCTTGAATTTGAATTCATAAGTTACAATCCACTTTTCAATTTTGTGTAATTAATAGCAAAGCATAGTACCTTTTCTATTGATATTATAATATTAGCTTATATTGAGAATAGAAGGATGAAAAAATGAGTTCAGTTAACTGTTTTTAGAAATATTATGTTGGATGTAAATACCGGTTAGATCGATAAACTCACATTCGAATCCGATTTCTGGTGGTGCAACAAAACAACTGGGTATCCTGTGAGCACATGCGGGACATTTACGATATTTTACTGCTTGAGCTTCATTTGGAGCCATCCATTCACCTGCCAAAGTTAACTCATTACACTTTGGACATTCCATAACGCGCTTGAAACATAGACCTGTCAAAATCAATAAATTACTAATACCATATCATAAGATAACTACTGACAATCACAGAGACATACTCTACTGATGAATTGGATCGTATACAAATCTGTATCACTATTTAGTTCAACAAAATTGTTCTGTAGTTCTTGATATGGAGTTTGCAGTTTGGCTAAACGCAGAGGGATTTTCTTTAGTAAGCCTTTTTCAAACTGAACTTCGGTATGGATGGTAAGGTATTCTATAGGATTGACACAGAGATAGAGCTCAGGTGTTTCCATAGTTCGTCCATCTGAGAACAAATGTCAACGCAGCCTTCTTAGTTTCAGCGATTTTTGGACTGTATACTACGTAACCGCTACAATAATGATTAACTCGTTTTAAAATGTTAAGTACATGTTCGATCACTTCTAGAATACTGCAGTTTCATTCTTAGCAGTGCTCGCACGAAGTATAAACATAGCTTGAAATCTGTTTATTGAAGATGGACATTTTAAATTCTTGAAAACGACTGCATTTCATTCGGCAAATCCAAATGTATTGAGTTTTTCTTGACACCTAATGAAATCTTTAATGAGCCATTTTTTAGATCGACTTATCCAATCCAATATACACCCGGTTATGTTATTCTTAACTCTTTATCAGAAATGAAACTGTTTCATCCTAAATCTTATCTGAAAATGAATTACTTTGAAAATAAACTTTCCAGACTCTCGAACAGTTGGTCACAATCTGTCTGTGGAATATAATCACTACTACTTTTCTGAAACATCGTTAGTTACCGCTCCTCCGGAACTTCGTTAAAAATACATTTGTGGCTCTGTTCTATTCAACCAATGGAATTATGGGGGGAAGGGAATTAAAAGCTTGATTACTTTTATTACTGAGTATACGTATTCTACTCCACTTCTTGCGGATATTTTACAGTTACCCATTTGTAATTGACTTGATTCATTAAAATAATTTTTATCAGAATCAGTAAGACATAAAATAATTTTGCATGTGTATAACAGCAGACTTGTCACAGTGACTTTTATTGTTTTCTTTTGTCTAATTGTAAGATATTAAAATTACTCTGGAATATCACTGGATTCGCATTACAAATCATTATTTATAACTCAGTAGGATATCCTGGTTCGTCTACTAAGAATAACGGGTTCCCAGCTGTAACCTCTCATTATCGTAACGAATATTTTCTCAAAACTATGGTTGAGTTACTTGTTTTCAAATAATTTGGTCTGATGCATCAGAAGTAGAGATGGATAATGGCTAGCAGTTAAATTCAGAGATCAAGTTTACTCCCATTTGGGACTCGTCAACTGGATGTACCCGCACTCCGGAGTTGATGTTCACTCTAGGACTAGGACCCAATACCAGCCGATTCAAACGCCATTGTATCATCCACCTAGCTACTGGGTCAAGACTGTCACTGGTTTGTGCAGACGGGTTAATTTTAGTAAAGTTGTATTAGTAGTCTTAGTCTTTACATTTATAGTTAGGACTGCAGTTGTTCAGTCTCATTTGGTATATATATATATATATATATATATATATATATATATATATATATATATATATATATACAAGCGCATATGTTTATTTTTTGTTCTGATCAAAAGATAATCCTCACCTTTGTAACCCAATAATATGGAATCGAATTCCTTTAATATAGGCAGCATAAAGTCCCAAAGATTCTCCTCTGAAACAGGCCATTTATGCCATTTTGGCTTAGGTTTATGTTTCCGATGCTTGACATTAATTTCCTTTAACGTTGTAAATTCATCTAAATAGTTTCTTTCACTATTTATTTGATCTTCATTTACTGGTTTTTCGTCATTTTCAAGTTTCAACTCGGCATTATCAGTAGTTGTGGTTTTTATGGGAAGAGCGCGAAATTCAAATTTAATTAATTTTTCATCGTTGGATGATTTTATGAGTAAAAATCTGAGTATTATCCCATTTAAACTGTTAAACATTTGTACTCCTGTCTTCCAGTGTGCTGTATATCGAAACTTTAATAAAAAGTAAAGAACATGAAGTAGAATTTAGTTTTGATCATTGTTATAAAAATACTGCTATAACAGAGGAACCGCACATAATCAAATATCACATACAGACTATATGTCTTTCATGTTATATTATGAGCCAAGAGTATATTTTACAAACAGACATTTTCAATAAAACGTTCAGTGCTTTTTATAACATTTCTGATAAAATACTTTCTCATCGTAGTATTAAATTAGATGAATAGTATTGAACAGCTGATTTTCTTGCTGAAAAAAATGTTTTTAAAATAGTGAGTATAATAGATTAAGTTTATCATGAACGCCTTCGGTGTAATATCAAAATAAAGTGACTTGAAGTAACCGTTTTTATTGAGACTTGACTGGTAAAATTGTGTTTTTTCATTGCGATGTAATTAATTTGTGTTTGAGAGCTGTTACCGTAAGGCATAAACCAGTTTGTACATGTCAGACATTTCAGCAAGTCAAATTTACTCTGAGTTTGATGTTGTATTTTCAAAATAAACAAATTTTCTATCATGTTTTAACCTCATATGTTTAGACTACTTATTACAGAAATACCTGAATTAACGAGTCTATCATTAATTAGTTCGTGTATTATATGTTGAACCAATCTTTAATGCAGTAAAAGTGTTTTGCAGTTAAACCTAACTGAAATCACTTGTACACACAAAAGATTGGTCACGACAAAGTATTAAGCTTGTGGTTAGGTGCTATCTGGTATTAAATAAATATTCAGCTCATAAAAACTGATTTCCGATTGATTGTTTCTACGAAACCAGTAAACTGAATGCCGATAATATAACTGGTCTTTCCTCGTTATCTGAATAATAGAATTTCTGGAAAACTTTTACTGCGCAATTTTAGGGAATGGCGGATTTTGAAAAGACGTTTTACTGTGATAGCTTAAAAAATAAGTGTATTTTAGAGATGTCAAGTAAGAAGTATGTATAGTAACAACACAACAATAAAACCCTGACTGTACTGGCAAATTAAAAGTGTCACACAAGAGTAAGACAAAATTCTATATACGATTAGTGAACGACTGTCAAGTGAGTATAAGGAAAACAAATTATGAAAACTGACCCTTAAATGCTAAAATATATACTAAAGTGAAATGATGATTAATAAACTAGAACTCAGTTATTGCAGTGCTATCATTAGCAAAGAGAGCTATGATTTCCTTCCATTGTCTTCTTATATAAGGAGAAGAACAAAATATTTGTAGCAAGAAAACAAAAGAGATTACTTTGAATAGTTCAGGCCAATTCAACCGTACTGTAGCTTTATCAAATAATTCTTGAGGTAAACCATAGGAAAATCGATACACAAATATAATTGGTCTTGGTCCAGTTTGACAAGCTGCTGTCCATAGGTCATTGCTCATCTCATCTGTTGGGCTGCAAAACGATGTAGGGATAAGGCAGGGGAAGCACAAAGCGGGTAATCGTTCCGGGCACAGTAATGATTGAATTTGATCAGTTGTTGGAGAATGGCGCGTATCTGAATTCATGCTTTCCTCTGTATCCGATTGATTATCAATTGATTGTGATAGGTTTTCTGAGTAAGATATAATTCCACAAGATAAAGCTATTTCTCTGGGAGATGGAAACTGTGTAAAAGTTGAAAACAATAATGAAATGGAAAACGTGTTTAGATTAACTTTATTTAGCAAATAAGAAGAGGAAACAAGTTCAGACAGACTTGTTTTATGCTAATGAAAAACTGAAGCTGTTTTAATAGTTGACGCTACTGGAAAAATTTGTTTTTGTCATTTCCGTATCAGAATACAAAAATGCACAAAGACGTTATTACTGATATCAGTAGTAAAAACAGAAATAAAACAAAATGAGTTATTCTTAAATAACAATTCGTATGAAATGTCTTGTAATCGTACTACTATACAACAGGAGAATCGTAACTCATCCTAGAAATATACATAGCTTATACTTTCCAGAAAACAACCGAAAGTTTTCGTAATGCTTTTCTAGTTGGAAAAGAAAGGGAGTGATTAGCTGAGGCACTTCACATTATGCTAAATCCCTCAATTTTCTATAGGAAAGAAAGCCTAATTATTCACTTAGTTTCAGCCACTTATTAAACCACACAGTTAACATGGGCATTCTGAAGTTTCATATATTTTGCACCTATAAGTATACGTACAAACACATTCATTGATGCCTCATACACAATCATCTTGATCAAAATCACATAATATTAACATAAATCTATTTTCGTTGTGACTAAACTCAACATTCTGCCTCATTTCCTTGGACTATATAAACTTGTGTTAGTCTAATTTGGTTATTTATTTATTTACTCTGATGAAGTGTCCTACACTATGTTAAATAACGTCAGAAGTTGAAATCTATCATAATGAATTTTTTAAATGCTCCATTTTATACAATTTCAAAAATGATACAATTGAAAGCGCAGCAGAGCGACAATGAACTTGTTATTGTATACGAAAATCATCAACAGCGTATTATATCATATCGAAGAGGATCTGAGTAAGGTTGAGCTTTCAGAGTTACCTTTACGAGAAATCATTATTTACATCTAATTATTAGACGCTTGGAATGTTGTTTCCTTAAAAATACCCTACGCGAAAGATGTTTTTGACCAAGAAATAGTCGTTTATTACTCTTACTACTCCAGATCTCTAATTATTTATATTTATTTTCCATTTGCTGCATTTTATATCACTTATGAATTCGTTAAGTATACATTGTGATTGATGATTTTTATTTCTGTACCGCGTAATGTTTAATCTGTGTTATCAAATGAGCTTGCAGTCATGGGTGCACAGTGTATGATAAATAACATACTCGCTTGCCAGCCTTACCTTCTAATCAATCAACGGGTTGGAAGGTGCTTAAGGATCACAAGGTGTTAAGGTTTTAGCCTCTATGTTACTTACAGAATTCAGAGTTACTGGTCTTAAAGGCAAAACAAACGAGTGAATCAGTAATCCGACGTAAGACTGCAACTAATACCATAAGAACTTCCCGTCAAATTAGTCTCAATAGAACTCAAAAATCGCTTCTTTGTGAACATAGACCAGTATTTGACATACCGACCGTGTGCTACATATTATTGTTATTTTCGTTATGGTATACCTTTATTTTGTACTGAACTCTCTGGTCCATATTTATTAATGCTATGGGATTAACCATTATCGGCTTTCATGATAATCCACCGTGAACATGAGATTCTTCCTCAAATATATGTTTAGTTGAATAATTAATCCCACCTAAGTCTACTTCCGTCCCCTGAAAAATATATTAATCTACTGAGACGATCATTTTCTCTTCTTATCTATCATGACTGATTAACGTTTCACAAAATATCTGAGTACAGCTTATATAGAGACTGATATTATTGCTCAACATATTTTTTTAACTGTGTTAAAAAATATGATTGCGTATGTAAATATCTTCCGAGTCTAATTTTTTCACAAATCTAACTTCTGATATTTAAACTAACACAAATTTTCTCTACAATAAACCTCGTAAATGATTATCTGCTCTCAACTATGTTTTCGATATTATTGTCATCAAAGCATCTATGAATACTGAAGTGTAGAATTTATTTTAATTTACTTGATAACTTTACATATTGTATGCAATGTTTGGTAATTTAAAAAAAATCAATTCATTTTAAATTCACATATCTAATATGCGAAAAGATTTGAAACTGTATATAGGTCATTCAACGAATTTTCGTCGTACAGTTATAGAATAATGAAAATATATTTTCATTTGTAATTTATTCTAATGTTATATGGTACTAACTGAAAAACGACAAGAATGTTGACAATGAAACGTCAAGAAGTTCCATTGTTTGAAGAATATTTTTTGTTTCTTGTGAATTGATTATCTGAGAGTTTTGAAATTTCTTTAATAGATGTAGAACATATGAGAACTTTTCAGTTAGAGTTTTGGAGATTTGTGTTTTACACATTTTAAATCACCAACCAATCATTGTTAGACCACCTGGAAGCACTGGACGACCGTTTCGTCCTGGTATGGGACTCATCAACAGTGGGCATCCACGACTCTTGCACCTCGCATGATTCGAACCCGGGACCTTCGGTATTGTGCGCGAACGCCTAACCATGAGAACTCACTTTCGCAACGAATACCATATTTTAAATAACTATGTTTGTATTAAAATAGTACATTGACAAATAACAATAACAAAGATTCACTTACATACTTGAATTTCCAAGTTGGTGAATTCTGTCCATCTGATATGTTAACATTAGTATCAAATTCGAAATTTACGAATAAATCTGGTTCAGGCACCGGATAGGCAAGTTCTAACCATCTCCATAAAATTTCAACATATGATTTTCCAGTTTCAATGTTATTTTTTACCACAAATAGGTTACTATATTCCACCAATGCAATCCATAAATGTGCACTTAAAATACCTGTGCCACGTTTTAATTCATTGCAACTTTGCATTAATCGATTTATTGCACCTTGTCGTGTAGCGGTATAAAATCGTCGTAGTAAATCTTTTTCAAATGTTTCTGGAACATGAAAATCTTGTAGTGAATTTTTATTTTTCTTATAATCAACTATAAAATGCAAATCAGGGTGTAGTATGTATTTTAACGATTCGATGAATAAATCAGGATCAATAAGAACATATGATTTTGGATAAGGTCGAATAGATGATTTCATTGTTACATCGAAATATCTCTCTTCTTCTTTTGATAGATAAGCGTCTGGAATTAAAATTTTACCTGTATTATTTAAATATGTAAGCAATTGTTTTAAATTGATTGAACTTAAATTAAATTTACTTTGTAATAAATGACAAAAGTAGGATTTTGGTAAAATGCATGTGTTCACTTCATAATTCACATTTTCTGATGTTTTTAAATTTGAATTCAAATTATAATCATGTTTTATATCGTCTAGATAAATTTCAATATCAGACCATATTTGTGGTAATGGTGCTAAACAAAATGGTATATGAGTTGGTGTTTTAATAGCTACATCAAAAGATACATAACATAATCGATCGAAATCAGACATTTTTGAATTTGCATACTTCAAAGACATTGGTATAACAGTTGGATATATGAAAGCGTAAAAATTATCATAAATATCATTTAAATGTTCAAAATATTGTGAAGTAGCTTGTGATATTTGCACTGAAGATTCAATACGAGTAATTTGATCTTTTAGCCAAAATTTTCTTGATTTTAAATAGTTCGAAGTTTGAGTATATAAATATTTTATTCTTTGATTTAATTCACTTTCAGATGATATAAGATCACATTTAGTTACAAGTAAAATTACTTTTAGATAATTTAAACGATATAAAACAATATCTAACCAAATGCCTACTGATTGATAAAAGTAATTTGACGAGTTTCTTAAATTCATACTATCTTCCACTAATACAGTTTGTTTTAGTTTGGTAATGTCGACTACAATCATGGCAACTGTTGATAAAGAAGTAAAGAATGAAATTACAGGTATGTAAGCCATGTGTCCAGAACAATCCCACATAGTTATGGTAGTTGGTCGAGTAGTTTGTGTTGTTAATTTAGTTTGATCATTGTCTTCCTTTGATTCTGTACACAATTTGGATGTAAATTCAGCTGCATCGTAATGTGTAGTATACGATTCCACACTGTATGTTGTTTCTTCCAAGCTCTCTGTCATACGAATTTGCCTATCTACTATACTCATAGCTAGACTAGATTTCCCACAATTTGTATCACCCAGCAATGTTATTTTTATGCCATAATAAGACTGTGTTTCGGTCCTTGATTCTAGAAAGTATTGTATCATAGCATTGATTCCACATTCAACAATACTATACGGTGGCCATATAATTGGATTATCAATTAAATCTAGTCGAATAATTTCTGATGGTTCTGTCTTTTTCAACTGCATCATATTTGCAATCATTTTCAGTAAACCTGCAGGGAATATTCGTAATTTATTCCTGCTTAAGTCTAATTGCTTAGTTATTTTCAGTAAACCGTCAGATATTGCATTAATTTGATTGTATGAAAGATCAATGAATTGTATTGGTTCTTTAGAAATCCTAGAATTGGATCTTATTGTAGGCAAATTGCATATGTTATTATGATCAAGTTTTAATGTTTGTAAACATGGCAGATTGAATATAACTGCAGGCAAAAATGACAAACCATTATATGATAAATCAATAACTTTGAGATGTTTTAAATACTTCAAGCGTGTACCAGATATCGGTTGTGTAATACAATTATGAGAAAGATATAAATATTCCATTTTTCTCAGTGAGAAGAAATGATCATGTAAACTGTTGATTTTGTTAAAATCAGCTCTTAATATTTGCAAATGTTTTAAACCATTTAAACCTTTCAAACTTGTTATTCCATTGTTTTGAATGTATAATCTTTTCAATCCAATCATATAGTTGGATAATTCATAAGGAAATTGATCTTCCAGTTTATTATGATCTAAGTATATTTCATTGAGAGTTTGAATCCAACATAGGTCTTGTTTTAATGTGCTTTCAGTAGGTTTCTGTTTTTTTTTATACCATAGAAATGCAGATTTAATTTCTTGAAAAACATTCATTTCAATATGATTATGACTAAGATTTAAAGAAAACAAACGTGTAGAAAATTGACACAACAAATCAAATGGGATTGTATTTAATTTTAAATTAGATAAATCTATCTGTTGTAAAATCGGTGCTATATGTTTCAATAATATAATCACTTCATTATTCCATTGAATTAATTTCAAGCCTATACATGCTTCATAATCTGACATAGTAATCAATGTCCATTGAAGAAATTTATTCTTTTCTAAATGTAATAATGTATTTTCATACCATTTAAAAATTGCACTTGGATATGTTACAGGTAAATAATGTTTATTCCCATTAGGTCGGATAAATAAAATCGATGAGAAATCATAATCCTGATTTGGATTGATATCAGTAAATAGTTCTTTTGATAGATTGTTTGTAGGTAACAGCTGAATCATATTTTACTAGTGAATCAATCCGTTAATATGATTTTGTTTCATTGAATATTTGGTTGAATTCAAAAATATAAATTTATTTGTTTTGACAACGATAAATTAATGCATTTATATTCAGCAATTAAAAATGAAATCCTAGTTTGTAATTTGTCAGCCATTTAACTGTCATTATTTGTTTGATTGCATTAGATACAATATTGATTTTAGTGCAATTCAGTATCCGACTATGGTTGGCTTACATATCAAAGTTGTCTTTTTCTTACTTAAGGTGCATATCTATTATCGACTATTAGTTGATAAAATAAATCTGTTGGAAGTATTATTTAATTTTTTGTCACATGACTTTTTTTCAATACCTTTAGATTTGTATCATCTTCTTTGGTATTGATGTTCATATAATGACTTTAATATTTCGCTTCTTTACAGTGGAATATTTCACCTACAAACAAGCGATTTATCTAGCGTTCCATGTAAACTATGGAACTTTTCGTAGGCAACCATTTGCTCGTTCTAAATTAGCTCCTATAAAATTTGGAGATAGTTTTTTCACAAAATGATAATAACTGCAAAATCATACAGAAAACCAAAAGACAAAGGAATGCTGTTTTATAACATCAAGCCTCTTTTAGGGCCTTCAAGTTTTTTGCGAAACGTGGTACTAGTGAACCAATCAGTCTGTACACAAGGGTCGACATATTCAGCTTAAATTATTCAAAAGAACGGAGTGACTATTATTATTTCTATCATGGTCACACTTCACCAGAACATCACCAATCCTTCTTGAAGCTAGGTTCTAATTAGGACAAAGTTATTTTTCAGCTGTTTATTTCATGGAGATAGGTCCAATTTAAAAATACGTTTGTTCACTAACATTCATACTGAGACAGACCTGCTGAAATACTTTCTGTTTATAAGTGGTCCGCAGTACATTTCGTTTATACACGGAAACATATTTGATAACTACAGAAGGTTACAAATTCTCTAATTACAGAACTAAGATAATAAAAGTTAAGGTAATCTTCTCTTTATAGGATCGATATCATTTTTGACTGACCAGCCAGTTTTTTTGAACATACTTTTCGCAGAATTCAACACTAATCATCTCTGTACATTTTTAAGGGATGCCATTGTAGCAGTTTTAAACACTCATGGCCGAATCGGTATTCATACGGATTACTGTATATATCTTGAATCTTCTTTTTTGTTGTTACTGCCGAACAACCGAGAAATAAATGAATGCTTCTCTACCATTATGAAGTAACTAAATGAGAGCTGTCTAAAGTGTTTGAATTGATTTTTCTGGTTAGCTTATTTTTAGCGAGGTAGTTTTTTAGTTTAGTCTTCGTAATCCAGTCGATCACCAGGAGAGAGAGTGGCTGATGTTCTTATAGTGGATTAAACTTCAAAACCGTACACGGAAGACAGCTGACAGAATCGTTTGAGGTGAAGACCAGTGCCAAGCAACGTTGCTTGCCCTCTCCCTTTCTCTTTCTTCTGGTCATCGACTGAATTTTGAAGACGTCAGTATCTGGAGGAAAGCATGGGATACATTGACTAACCAGGATGCAGCTGGATGATCTGGAATTCGGAGATGATCTGGCTCTTCTATCGCACACGTAACAACAAATGCAACAGAAGACGACCAGTGTAGCAGAAGCAGCAGCAGGTCTAAACATACTTAAAGGGGAAAGAGAGATTCTCCTATACGCCAACCAAATCACACTTGATAGAGATTATTTGGAGGACGTTAACACCTTTACATATCTGTGCAGCGTCATCGACAATCAAGGTGGATTTGATGCAAATGTGAGGATGCAGATCGGCAAATCATTAGCTGCTTTTCACAAACGAACAACATTGGGGACTCCAGACAACTATCATCCAATACTAAAATCAGGATTTTGAATACCAATGTCAAGACATTTCCACCATATGGGCGGAAACCTGGAGAAATACGAAAGCCATCATCCAGAAGATCAATAGCAGTTGTCTACGCAAAATACTTCGTGTCCTTTGGTCAGATACCATCAGCAACAATCTACTGTGGGGGAGAAAAAACAAGATTCCAGCGGAGGAAATCAGGAAGAAAAGCCGGAAGTGGATAGGACAAACACTGATGAAAGCATTGCAGGACAAGCCATCAATTCGAATACTTGACGTCAAAAAAATCAGGAAAATCAAGTAACAAATTTCGCCGAGTAGCGGAGACAGACTTGAGAAGTATGAACAAAAATTAGACGGAACTGGAAATGGAGGCCCAGGGCAGAGTGGGTTTGAGAATACTGATCAGTGGCCTATGGTCGGTTGGGAGTGACAAGCTTTAGGCATTAGGTAGGTAGGTCTAAAGTGTTTAATCGTTGAAATAATAATAGGTAAAGGTCCCTAGTTCAGGTGAAATCTAATAGTGAGATTTGAGTACCACAGAAGGATCCTGAACACGCGCCTTAAAGAAGTACCATTCTAGAACGAAACAGTGTTTCACTGCTTATAGGTTTTCAGTGACGACACGACTTAGATCGCTTTCTGATTTTAATGACATAAATAGATCTTAAAGTTGCTCTATTACTTCCACATTGTTAAAGGGATAGTTATTTGGACTCTGATGGTCAGAGATCGTCCGTTTTTTGAAGAATGTCGAAATTCTAGTCAAAATAGCTTCTAAGAGTAATTTCTAGTATTCATTATGCAGTCTATCTTTCACGAGCGAGGAAAAACAGATTGATTTCCTCAAGCTCGCTTTTTGCTATCTCTTTAAGGTTCCAGGAATTCGGTAATGTCCAGTGTGTGGTAGTCTGGAAATCCGACTAAACTAACCCTGGTCATCTGGCAATCATTTGCATATTGTATAATTTGAGCAAGTGAGTTTGTTTCAAGTCGGTAGGCATTCTGAATACCAGCTGCTATCCCATTAACATACTAAAGATCAGCTGACTGCAATTTAAAGAATAGAAAATGGGAAATTCTTATGGTAAGGAGAAGATGAATGTTTCAGAAACTAAATAATTTAGTTAGCTGAAAACAGTGTGAGAGAATCAGAGTGTACGGATAGAAGTGGAAACAGAGATAATAAGAAGTGAGATAGAATTAGTTAGTGATTTGGTAATCATACCGACATCGTGCTCAGAGGAGACATTATAAAGCGGACTTCCATTGTGTGGCGTGAGGCAGAATGTTCATGATATGACATTTCAGGCGACTAGGTTTTAATCTTTTGTCTCACTACCATTCCTCTATTGTTGTAAGGTCCCTTTGAAGCCCAAATAAGTCTTGTTTGCTTATTTTGATCAACCAGATCTTTACATCATCTGCATAGATCAATGTCGCTGAGTTCATTTTATTTCACAAGTAATTAATAAATAAATAAATAATCAGGAAATGGAGTAGGCCTCAAACGGCCCCCTGTGAAACTTCCTATGTTGAGACTTACCCTGGCACAAAACTTACAGTTCTCAAGGTAGCTTCTGGGCCGAGGTAGAAGTGGTTCAGTGAAGCTCGCCTTCACTACCTTCGTAATCAGGAGTGCATGGAGTACCACGGTTTGTAGATTTTCTTTTGGTACGGATTTAAAGGGATATGTTGGCTTCTGTTGTATTTTGACCGCTATCTTTGACTCTTATATCTCCGGACTGTGGCATTGCATCTCCTTCTCAATGTTGAGCAAGAGATACGATAAAGATCTTTCAGAGAGACTTTCCGCTTGTGTCAGGCTTTTTCCCCCGCCTGTAACAAGTGTTCTGTGCTTCACTCAAGATGTGATCCTATCTTCCCAGATTCATGGTTCGTCTTAAGAACTTCATGTAGAATATCATTCTGAATAATGATCTCCATTGTTCACAGCGATCGTTCATACTTACGAGTGAAGAAGATGCCCCCTTACGGAAGTGTAGTTTGTGTTGGTATGACTGAGGTAAGCAACTTCATTTTGTTGTCCCTCCTAAGTATTTCGTTTGTGAACATGATAAACATGACTAAGCCACGGCTAATGATTCTTATTGCTGTGTCGTCATAGACATGCTCAACAAGAGCAAATTATCCAAGTTTATGGATCGTAACCTCATCTCATGGAGTCACACGCGTGTTCAGTTAGTCTTATACTCCTGATAGCGGTGACAAGACAGTAGTGTGCCCTAAAATGACAAGCCTATGTTTCCCACTCTAGCTATTGGATTAGTCAATTAATCTATTCATCTCTGGTTAATATTTACATGTTTTTTGCCTTGTTAATTATCCATCTATTGCCTTGGATGT